GGCCCTGAACACAACCATAATCAACGCTGGAAAACCCGGAAATAGCAGTAACTCATGACGCACCGAACGATTCTGGAACCAGTAGCAAAGTACTGAAGGTCAGTTCCAACAACCGTAGTTCGGTGTTGCAGACCTGATACGTTGCTTATACAAACCAAATTTTAAGGCATTTCATATTAATATACCTCTCTACATGCATGCAGTCTCCTTGCTCCTCTAACGTAAGGACGTACCTAGATTTCAACGTGAGCCCTGATTTCTGTATAAGCGCATGCTCTCCGCATGCAACTTTGTCCGATTTTTCGCAGATTTCTACATGGAATTAGAGAAAAAGCAACAAAATAAAAATAAGGAAATCGTTTATTAAAACGTCGAACAGTTTCCTAGTCAAAATTCAATCTACAAGCAGTAATTTTGCAACGTGTAGGATTAAATAGATGTAGGTACGTTCCTTCATCCAGAAAACGACGATTTATATGGATCTTTTCCTTAATCCAAACGCCCCGTGTTTCAATTCTGCTCCACGTTATTGATATTTTCCCACCCATATTTTGACTATCTCGTCTCGAATTTCCCATCAGAGTGACTGATGCGTCGAAAAGCACGATGAAAAATCGTGGCCCCTTGCGTGTATCAAGATGCATTCACAACAATCTGATAAATCACGTTAGTGGGCTTAATTATCCATCGGTGAAATAAAGCTCCGACGAAGCTAATAGCTGGGACCGGCATCGATCATTCCGTGGCCCGGCATCGGAATCCAGCGCCGCCGCCGCCGCAGCACGGAACCACCCAGACGCACATCCCGAAGTCCCGGGCTTTGGAAAAACGACGCATCAACTCACGGATGTTGCCGGTCCATCGATGAAATATCAATACCTTGAGTCGAAAAATGTATATCACCATTCCGCCGTGTTAAGGAAGAACGCCGTATGAGCGGTCAAATGTTGGCAAATTTCCTCCCAGAAAATATTTATTTTAGAAGAAATTCATGCATATTTTTCCTTGTTTGTTGTCTTTTGGATCGAATTACCGACAGAATTCTCTGAAAACTTGGGAGAAAATTATTCCTAAATATTCCCGGAAATTCTTGTTTGTAAAAAGAAATTTGGCAACGCCAGAAGGCTCATACGGTGTCTTTCCTTAGCACGGTAGCATACTCTACAATACGAAATCATAAGAGTAACGCGTAAAACATAACGTCTTGAGCTCGAAGGGCTTCTGGAGGTCAGTCTCGATTGAAAACTTTAAAAATCTCAGACTAAGCTCCAATCGTTATTTTTCCCTTTTTTTCAAAGAGAAGGAACCAAATATCTCCCTAGAATACTCGGTGATCATGTTTTAAAGTGAGTGAAGAAAATTCGTGGCTAAATTAAAAAAAAAAAAAAAAAAAAAAAAAAAAAAAAAAAAAACTGTCGGTTCCTATTCTTTGAAGAAATGAAGCATAAGCAGAGATATTCGATGTTACGATCGGAAATTCGCCTTTTTAATTTTTACCTTTCGACACATTTTGAAAAATTTGGTAGTTTCATCCTCGAAATAGAATCGTTTCTTGCAAATGAAATTCTCTAAAAATTTTAGGGGAAAATATTAACATTTTTAAGAATATTTTTGAGAACATTGTTAAGAACATTTTACATTCATTAGGATAAATGTGGCGACGCTTGAGCGGTCATGCGACGTTATTCCGTAGCGAGGCCCAACCCGAAGTATCCCCATCGTCCGCGAGATTCAAATTCCAGGACTGGGTCTTTAGGAATGAATGAAAGTAAATAAAATAGAGCGGGAATATTGATTTACGATGATGGGAGGAGGGTCATTGTGTGGCGAGGCAAAAACCACCCATCTCCACCGCGCCTACAGTGTAAATCGGGTGGTTTTGTGCCTCGCCGTCCCCCGTCCGACGACTCGGTCGAGATGAAGATCGTTTGTAATACCGGTGCATAGAAAATGAAATAAATTAAGGCGTCGCGAGTCTTTAACCCTTTTCATGAATGGGCACTGATGTTGTGAAATGGACGTTTTGGAGATGCAGAGGACGCGATGACATTTCAGATTATTATTCCTTCTTCTTCCTCCTTTTTTTCTTTTCCTTTCCTCGCTCCCTTCCCCCGTCGTCTCCTTCTCCCTCTTTACATCTACCTCAACCTCCTCACCCCGAACTCCTGATTCCTTGACCTCAGGTTTGATAAACGAGAGTTGCCGGCTTGGGCGTTGACCATCAAATGGACCACACTTTGCGATGAACTACAATTTCTGACTTATTGGTAAGGCACTTATCTGCTTGGGGGAACTAATGCCACATATATCGTGTCGTTTCTGAAGAGAGCTAGAAATGGCAGTTCCGGATTTCAAAATGTAGTCTAATTATCCTTTACAAAGCTTCCTTGAATACAAGAGGCTCTGTAACTCTTCAAACCCATCCCTACCCCTTTTCTATACTCTATATGTAGAGATCTACCTAGCCGATCTTCACGATTTTTCAACAATCGATGTAGGAATCTCGGTAATATCTTGATGAGCTAACTTAAATTTTCAAAATATGACAGAGATCTACCGGGTCGATTTTCATGATTTTCCAGCAGTCGAAAGATCTCTCGCCTGTCTATCAAGTTTCAAAATTAGGCCCAGGTTTAGTAGCCACAGCAGCAAAATATCTCGCTAAAACTAAAAAATATACGAGGTAAAGTCACCGCTCCACATCAAACGTTCTAACTGGACGTTCGGTGAATTTTCCTGCTTTCTTCCTCGAACAATCGTGACATATGGGAATGATACCACTATTCGACCACGTAGGAGCTCGGGTTGCCTACCCTGAAAACTGAAGGCAAACCGACAGTGTGGCGAAGTCACATTAACGCGCAACACTCCATCCTGCTTTCCCTCTCGAGCAATCGTGACATCTGGGAGTGATACCACTATTCGACCACGTGGGAGCTCGGGTTGCCTACCCTGAAAACTGAAGGCAAACCGACAGTGTGGTGAAGTCACCTTAACGCGCAACACTCAATCCTGCTTTCCCTTTCGAGCAATCGTGATATCTGAGAGTGATAGCAATGCCACGGCCACATAGGAAGTCGCGTTCTCTCCACTTAAAACTGAGGGCAAACAGACGAAGCGAGCAAATGTAAGAAGCATGGCATTTCTTAAGGTGTTCCCCAAATTCCCGGATAATTCTCGATTTCTCAGGTTCCTATTGGCACCCTGGTATTTTTCGTCAAAGGATACGTCTATAACGGTTGAGGATTTTTAAATATTAGTCAGAGGAACCCCTGGACTCATCCTCCAGCTCCCAGCCCCCCTCCCCCCGATCTCAGTGTGAGCCCGGGTCCCATATAAGTGCACGCTATCGGGGCCTTTTTTCACCAGTTCGGCCTTGTTTTTTGGGGCATAAAGAGAAGGTTCAATTCAAGTGATAATTTCCACAGGGATTTCGCTTCCTTTATAAAGATCCATAAAGAGGGGTTTAAAGCTTGTAGATACATTTCTCTACCTACGTTCACTATTCCTTCAAAAAAATAATGATATACTGACTATACGCACAACTTTCCTCCCGATTTTTTTTTAAAAATAGAGCAATAAATGAATACCAGAGAGGAATAAAGCATGATTGCTTTTTCTCTACACCTCGTTTTCTTCCAAAATTTTCAAAATGAATGAAGTCGTTGCCGTAAACGAGCCCTTACCCCACTTTCCTTCATCTAGTGCCTGCTAGGCTCCTTTACTAAACCCTTAACGTAGGAGCGACATTTCGGACAAAATTGATAGAAGTGGAGCGGACCCACAAATGAGTCTTTAAAACCAACCCTATACTGCTCAAACTTTTATTTTAATCTTTTTTATAAAAATGTCAATTTTCCAAGGCAAGTCAGGGTAATCGCTCACACTGCCCTCTGAAGCAAAATGCCCATCCTCATACCCTCTCTCTCGGGACCTGACATAATTTACATTTGTCCCGAATAAAATTTCATGTGGAATGTTCCCGTCCTGCAATAGGACGGAGCGAGATCAGTCTCTGAACATTGACTCAACCGTGAGGCAACGCTACTTGGACCGCGTTTAGTAGAAAGGAACTCGGCCACATCAGCTATTGCCAAAATTAACCGGGCAATCTAAGTTTTTACGATTGAAAGTTTGTACGGATTTCTTTGAACTTTTTTAGGAATTTGGCTCGTACTATGCAGAAAATTCACTGAAATAAGCATCAGAACCATTTTCACGCAAGGAATTAAATTGCCCACTTAAATTTGGCAATAGCTGATGTGTCATCGTTCCTCTCTGTTTAACGTGGTGCACTTACGGGACAAGTATTGAAACAACATGAGGAACGAGAAGAGCGAAAAATAGGTATTAGTGGGGAAAAATTCTTATAAGTGATTGAAACACAGTGATAATTTTTAGGCCGAAAGCGAAACACCAACATTGATTTCAGCTATTGTCAATTTGCGTTGTTCCATACAATATATCACGGAAATATCGCCTCTTTTTTTGGAGTTGTGTCAGTATTGATAGAGCAACGTTATGAGTAATATTGCCTCAACGTTGCTCTATCATTACCGGCAACACTTGAGGAATATTGAGGCAACGTTGACGCATTAAGGTGGGCCCTGTTGATTTCGAACCCCGGGATTTTGTGCCGAAGTTAAGGCGGAAGATTTTAAGTACTCGGCCTAGTTGGAGCATTGGAGCATAATGAACATGGAAATTGGCTCGGTTATAAGGTGCATGCCGTGATGCGCGCTGCGGTTCGAAAAAGCCGGCGAGTATCTCGCTTGCCGGTGTTGGGCCCGCGCCGTGTGCCCCCAGCAACCGGGACGAGGCCCGCAGTTTGAGCACCCCTGAAAACACACTTCCCCTTATTTCCAGAGGATCAGCTGATGTAATTTACACAATACCGGGGCGCCTCGACCAATCAGAGCGCATGAGCCGCCGTTCCCCTACTGCCCTTGTCCCCCCACTGCTCGCGCTCTGCGCTCCGTGGCCTGCCGACTCCACGGAATTCTCAGTTCTTTGTTAAGTTTTGACTCGCTCGCTTCTCGGATATCAGTCTGTCGCTAATCAAAAGTTCCACCTCTCCAAGTTTTCCCTTTGTTTTGTTTTAAGTTTCTCGACTTCCGATCGGTTTACGTGAAAATGAGTTTATGTGTGTTATCTGTTCTGTTTTCCGCATATTTCCCGACTGAAACGTGAAATCGTTATCCTCGTCTTTCCTCGATCCGTCGAGCTGTTTTCGCTTCTTTATTTCTCTCGACACGACCGATCGTGAAAATCATTGTTACCATTACGATCCGTGTTTTACAGTGTGGAACAAGATTTCTCTCAATTCTTGTGCCAATGAAAATATATCCTGTGTGCGTGAACGTTCCGTCGTCGGATTGTGCCTTCTCGTAGTGTCGGCGAGGGACTGTCTTATTGTCTTCGGAGTAGTTTCATAATTATTTCACGACGGCTTTAGTGGGAGGAATTGATTATCATTTTGATCCGACGTTAGTGTTAACCGGCCTCAATATTCCCATCGCCCAAGTAGCCAACCACGACCACGACAACGCCGAGAACTACCCCCCATCGGACATGGGGCAAATTGGGGACCATGATGTAAGTCCACATTTATTTTTAAAATGATTTAATTTGAACTAACCTAAGTTTCTGAATCATTCCTCGATCCCTATCCTTGACCTCTCCCAACTATTATCTCCAACCCCTGCCAAGAGTTTCGTTTTGGACCCTGTTCGCCGGTTGCCGTTACCGGCTTATGGGGAACAGCTGATCATCTCATCAACCCTATTTCATCAGCTCTTCTTTAAATGAAGCACCTTCTCACTCATATTCCTCTCCATTCTCTCATATATCAGCCTTCAATTTTAGCCTTATCAGCAGCGAGAATTCAAGGTGTCATATCTAAGACCGTAAACCCAAGTATTTCTTCAACACTATCCCTGGTTAATTCATTCCTACGGTAGGAGTTCAAGTCTTGGTCTATTGGAAAGCCACTCCATAAATTGCCTGAGGCTCATGTATCGACTTTACCTAAGAACACTTGCTGAACTACCTATCCCAGGGCAATTTCAATTATTCATGTTCAGCAATTTTTCTTAAATTTTGCACTCTATGCCTATCCATACAGGAGACTCCTTCCTGAGGAACAAGACTGCAGTAGCGTTATTATAGTGCCCCAAGTAGTTCTTGTCATTATCAGTTTTCACCAGATAATTCAGCACTTTTTTAATTCTTGTTCGTGCGAATTCTATCAAAAAACAGAGAAAGGAGAGGTACTTCCTCTGGAGGGTTTAAATCTAAGTTCAGTGGTCCTTGAAACAACTATTAACGGTTTGCACTTGAAAACTGAGCATTTCAGTGCCAACCGATGATTCTGCACGTGATCAGAATCATCATTCATTGATCATAATTCAGTGTACCTAAAATGGTATGGTCAAATCAATCTATCTATTTGTGCACTTGCTCAAGTGACCACTATCATTCTCAATCAGCTTAAAATTCGTCAGCTGGCCTTCGTATCAGTCAACCTCGTCAGAGAAAAGAAATATGCACTGTCGTGAGAATTGTTCAATACTCATGCCCTATAGGAATCCTAAACCTAATTTACTCTTCCATCAAAGCCTGATGGCTTTTTTCCTGACCTAACCATAGTAATTCTTTCAAAGTCTGCTCTCTTAGGGTCAGCACTCAACGTTCATTTTCATCTAACCTTCCATTAAAACCTTCCATTATTCCCTCAAGTTTACTTCTTATCACTGGTATGTCCTGTTTGGGTTTTGCTTGGCACTGATTTGACAGTACCTTTTACTTATCATAGATTTCAAGAGAAATCCCTTGAAGTTACTTGAGTTAAATGAGGTGACTTTTAAATCAGTTACAAACTTCAAATTGATGAAAATACTGCTACCAAGTACACAACCTAATTTTCATGGTTACCCATCAGTAATTTCAAGTCTAGACACCAAGATTCTCTTCAGTTGCAGTGAAGTAATAATGTGTGATGTATGTACTTACTTAGGAATGTGGTGTGAGATATCAATGCATGTCTTAACTTTAAGTATGTACTTCGGTTCCAACAAATAATTGATTTAGAGATACTTACTACGGTTTTGTATTCAAATTCTAACTTTCTGTAAAATTTTGTTATGGGCTGCTTCAAATAGGACCTTGTAGTTGTGAGTCGTTCGATCTTGTAGGTATGTATCCTAAGTACGTAATGTGCAATTCTTCTTAATTTAAGTATTCATTCTGAGTAGTAGCGAATTTTTGTACATTATGTAATCAATGTTTATATCTTAATTGGCCCTCCCACCTTTGAAAAAGTGTATTTTTCACCAATCCTGGTGCTATCAAAGAGAACTCCGTTTTTAAGATATTCTATCACTCCTTAGGACCTTTTTTTTTTTTTTGGTTTGATAAATTCCTGTAATTTATTATTTGAGCAAAAAAGAGCTAATTCAATGGTGGAAGGGTTATTTTTACCAGGAAATGATTTTTTCCAGTCCACGAGGATTTAGTACATACCTACCTAATCTATGATCACGATTCTTCACTAGTGTGTGTTCTCTAAATCACCCTCATTATAATTCTCCTTGATTCAGCCCAAAAATTTGAATGTTTTTGACACTTTTGATTTGGTAGAAAGAGCAAAATTAAGTTAATCAGAATTAACTCGTAACATTTGAGCTCCAATTCCTGGCATTCTCGGGAACATTTATATTGAAATTCCAAAGTTACTAAAAAATAATAGTATATATCATTCCAAGGACGTAAGCTCCTTTGTGAACAATTAAAGCTCTCACAGTTGATCGTAGATTCACTGTCGATGTACTTTTTTCGGTATTTCTACTGCCTTGTCATTTGTATCTGAATATTCCATCGAATTAACGAAAGCGGTAATTTCTGAAAATTGTTCCGATCGAGAAAAATCCTCGGGTGACGCGAGGCCATCGACCCCACTTGGTGTTGCTCCAATGTGCTGAGAATGACTGAAAGTTCGGAGTAGAAAGTTGACCAAGCTCCTGACAATAATCTCGGAGCTAGCGCCCCTCGCGGTCGCTCTCGAAAGCTTTCGCCGGTCCGCTTTGTGTAGGTCGCGTTGGCAGTCCTTTTGTTCTTTTCAGAAGAGGGCAGTCCGGATTTAATACAATTAAAACACGTATTTAGTATGAATCGCTTGATTAGACTAAGAACATGAGAGATTTTAGTCCGTTTTGTAAGGTGTAACACTCGTTTTTGCCCAGTTCCTATCATGAGTTTTTAACATTTTCCCGTCGATTTTGCTTGGAAGAAATTTGAACTGTCAAGAAGTCAAAGTTTCAGATAACCCGTACAAGCTCGTCATAAGTCAGGGAATTTTTCACGTTAATTTTAGGTGTCTGATCGGTGTGATTTTTCCAACGTTCGTAAATCTAGCCAACAAGACAAAACTTACTTAATGATGCAAAATCCTAAAGAGTAACACTCAATGCCTGAGGCGCAAAGCGTTTCGAGCGGTTGTTGGTCTTCCAAGCTGTCAGGAAGCATAGCCTCTTCGGTATAACTTTATATACCTAGAATCTGGAGTCATTATTTTTCAAATTTAGCTTTTTGCTAGACTTTCGGAAAACCAAAAAGCGATTGGCTCATCCATTCACACGTGTACTTAGATTCGATGGTTCTATCTCCTTCCCCCAATTTTCGTCTGATTTAAGCTCGTGGATTTCCTGTATACAGCTCCTTTGTTAGTTTCTATTCTTGAATGGAATTTATCAACTTCCACACACCTGCAGTTCGCGCCATTGTTCAAATGAGTACGGATTTTCGGCGTCAAGCAAATTTTAACTTCTGTTCACCTCGGAAACAATACCCACTGCTTTGAAGGCCTCTGTCTTGGAGCGTGCGTTGACGTCACAAATTTAAAGCGATATATTTTAATCTTGAGGTTTGATAAAGTGTGTATCCACAGTAGCTAAGAAAGAGCACTTTACGTTCGATGTCGTTCGGGTTGGGTTTTCAATTCCAGTAGGAAGGAAAATAAACCAGGAAATTTTGCCGGAAGTCAAAAATTTTCGTCCTTAGGAGGAATGATTCCACTGAGAGAAAAGACTATCTTACCTTTAATACTGCAGTGCTAAGAAAGGCCGCCATATGAGCTTTCAGACATTCTCTAGTTTCCTTCGATAAAATAAGTATGAATCTCCAGGGAAATCTGTCCATATTTTGCTTTGAATTTTTCAAAGAATTCTATTCAAACAGACCTAAAATATTTGAATATTTCAAGAAAGAACATTCGTGTTTTCGCCCAGAAAATAAAACATTTTAACGGAAGAAATTTGATAACGTCTGGAGGCTCATACGGCGCTCTCCCTTAGCACAGCAGAATAGATACGTAGTAGGGTTATTTTCTTCTTCAATTTATTTTTTTATTATATTTAATTTTTTTTTAAATCGAAAAATGAAGCTGATATTAGTCAGGATTTTTTTTTCATTTAGGTATTCAATTATTTTTTAATAAGCGAATCTTAACGTTTAATCGCGATCGGCATCCCGTGTAGAAAACAGTGGCGTGGCGTGATTTGCGATATATCGATTGATCTGCCATTTAAACCTATGGATTAGGATCGATAAACAGGGTGTTGGCAGCGAACACCTTAATAATCGATTGATTACCATAGGTTTAAATGGCATAACAATCGATAAATCGCAATTCACGCCACGCCACTGGTAGAAAAGAACCTATTTTCTTTTAAATACTTCTTACTCTTCTTTCCCTTCATTTCATTTTCCACCCCTTCCTCCTCGTATGTCTCCTTTTTATGCGCCAAGAGGCGTTACGCCAGCGCGAGGCCTCCCTCCCCGTGAGCCGCCACTGTTTTTCGGCGGATGGAATTCGCGGCATTATTATTTTATCGTGCGTGGCGCCCCTCATTTTGAAAGCGACGCCGAGGAAAGACTAGCATATGCCGCAGATAGGCAAGGAGCAAAGAGTGAAAATCGATTGTCTGCTATTTACGTAGCCGGTACACCCTCCGCGTCCCCTCGGCGTCGAAACGGAAATTTCCATTTCACTTTTCGTACGATGAATGTCTTGCCCTAAGTTATTATTATTTTCGGACCTTGTACCCTCGCTCTATCTTGTCCGAGCCTTCCCGGGTCCTATTCCACGCTCAATGGCGATTCTTCGCAAATTCATACCACAGCCTTTTCTCCGCTCACCGGATTGTGGCGTAGTCGAGCTGACATGCGATATATCGCATCGATCAAGTAAAGAATCCCGGCATATTCTGACTTTTTAGCGAAAGAAAGGACAATAACCCCTGTCCGCGAGTCGAAAATATCATTCCCAACCGAAAAATATGCGCAATTCTTAGAAATTAAAACGGTATTCTCTTTGGAAAAGATTCTCGCATTTGATAAAGTAACTTCTGTATCGAATGCGAGGTTTTTTTCTGACTTTTTCAATTTTTTTGGTTGATTACTATTCTTTAAGCTCGGAGGCAGATGCTATTGTTCTCTTTAAGGCTAAACATCTCACAAATTTTGGGAGTTATAACTTAATCGACGCTTTAAATTATATCGCACGCCGGAACCAGGGATGAGTCACCTTACATACCCGC